CAGTGCAAAAAATAAAAAAATAAATAAAAAAACACCTCTCTGCTTCATCCTTGAATCTGTTTGTGGTCATTTTAAGGTCGCAGCACTGTCCTTTGACCTCTGACCCTCTCCCTTTCTGCTTCATGTGATTTTGCAATGGATGCTTTAAAGCCCATCGGGATTCAAGCTTCAGTTTAAATCTAAACACGCTTCAGATTAACAGCCTTATCCATGCCCATGTTTAGATAGCCCTGCGACTAAAAGGCTAAAGCGTTTGCTTATATTTATTGCCATTTAGTAATGGAAGAAGAGGAGCTTCCTCACTGTGAATTCCTGCGAGAGCATCAGCTAAATGGCTGAAATGTAAATACTGCCGCTGCTCTCAGTGTCCATGGAAATGACTGAGAGCAAAAGCCAAATGCTTCAAATGGGAATTACCGGTGATCAAGAGATTTGAATCTTGAAATCACTTAAAAGGATGAAGTGCTATTTTTCATCGTTTACACCACTTTACGCGCAGAGTTCCAGCGTCATGTTGCAGGCTGGGTGGCTGATAGCTTCTAGAGCCTCTCTGTGGGTACTGGAGCTGCAGGGCGCACTGGGTCTGCAGCTCGTGTGGCATCCCGCCTTCTTGTATTTTGCAGACACAGTGGGTGAACTTTCACCTCAACCACAAAAGGACACGCTTTTCCCCCTTCAGCTTGTATCAGTTGACCATTTTTACCTCTAGCTATCCTCGCCATCCACACACGCATCCCTTCTTGCTTCGCTGTGGCTGCATGGGGCAGATCGATAGGGCAGCATCTGCTCCGGGAAGCCGGCGGTCCCACACCGCGCACCGCCTCGCTGTTTTCCAAACGCCAGAGTTGGTCATCTCTGAAAATTAATCTGACAGACAGATATGATTAGTATGCGCGCTCTGCCTCTCTGCTTCTATCAGAGTCTCGGAGTTCTCTCTCTCAGGCCGGCACGCGCGCAAACACGCACGCCAAGGCCTAAATCCACGCATAAACGGCGCATATATCAATTGCACCTATGTGCACAAGAACCAGGAGCCAACTTGCTTATATTCATGCTTTCATAACAGGAATATACAGGTGCTGGTCATAAAATTAGAATATCATGAAAAAGTAGATTGATTTCAGTAATTCCATTTAAAAAGTGAAACTTGTATATTATATTCATACATTACATACAAACTCATATATTTCAGATGTTTATTTTGTTTAATTTTGATGATTACAAATGACAACAAATGAAAATCTCAAATTCATCATATCAGAAAATTAGAATATTACTGAAGACCAATAAAAACAAAGGATTTATAGAAATGTTGGCCAACTGAAAAGTATGAACATGAAAAGTATGAGCATGTACAGCACTCAGTATTTAGTTGGGCCTCCTTTGGCCTGTATTACTGCAGCAATGCGGCGTGGCATGGAGTCGATCAGTCTGTGGCACTGCTCAGGTGTTATGATAGCCCAGGTTGCTCTAATAGTGGCTTTTAGCTCTTCTGAATTGTTGGGTCTGGTGTATTGCATCTTCTTCTTCACAATACCCCATAGATTTTCTATGGGGTTAAGGTCAGGAGAGTTTGCTGGCCAATTAAGAACAGGGATACCATGGTCCTTCAACCAGGTACTGGTAGCTTTGGCACTGTGTGCAGGTGCCAAGTCCTGTTGGAAAATGAAATCTGCATCTCCAAAAAGTTGGTCAGCTGCAGGAAGCATGAAGTGCTCTAAAACTTCCTGGTATGTGGCTGCGTTGACCCTGGACCTCAGAAAACACAATGGACCAACACCAGCAGATGACATGGCACCCCAAACCATCACTGACTGTGGAAACTTTACACTGGACTTCAAGCAACGTGGATGAAGTGCCTCTCTTCTTTTCCTCCAGACTCTGGGACCTTGATTTCCAAAGGAAATACAAAATTTACTTTCATCAGAGAACATGACTTTGGACCACTCACCAGCAGTCCAGTCCTGTTTCTCTTTAGCCCAGGCAAGACGCTTCTGACGCTGTCTGTGGTTCAAGAGTGGCTTGACACAAGGAATGCGACAGCAGAAACCCATGTCTTTCATACGTCTGTGTGTGGTGGTTCTTGAAGCACTCACTCCAGCTGCAGTCCACTCTTTGTGAATCTCCCCCACATTTTTGAAAGGGTTTTGTTTCACAATCCTCTCCAGGGTGCGGTTATCTCTCTTGCTTGTACACTTTTTTCGACCACATCTTTTCCTTCCCTTCGCCTCTCTATTAATGTGCTTGGACACTGAGCTCTGTGAACAGCCAGCCTCTTTAGCGATGACCTTTTGTGTCTTGCCCTCCTTGTGCAAGGTGTCGATGGTCGTCTTTTGGACAACTGTCAAGTCAGCAGTCTTCCCCATGATTGTGTAGCCTATAGAACTAGACTGAAAGACCATTTAAAGGCTTTTGCAGGTGGTTTGAGTTAATTAGCTGATTAGAGTGTGGCACCAGGGGCCATCAATTTTGAACCTTTTCACAATATTCTAATTTTCTGATATGATGAATTTGAGATTTTCATTTGTTGTCATTTGTAATCATCAAAATTAAACAAAATAAACATCTGAAATATATGAGTTTGTATGTAATGTATGAATATAATATACAAGTTTCACTTTTTAAATGGAATTACTGAAATCAATCTACTTTTTCATGATATTCTAATTTTATGACCAGCACCTGTAAATAAATCATATTTAGAGAATGATTAAAATCACACACATGGAAATCAAACCGAACTAATTTGAACATTTCCTGATCTAGGCCTATCTTTTTTCGCAAACTTAAAATAAATGTTTACCCAAAGATTTGGCGACATAATTTTTAGGAGTTTGCAAATATTTCATTGCAATTAAGACTGCACACCAAATACAAGCTATTGATTTCTTTAACATATAGGCCTTATGCTCGCGCTCCTACGTGTATACACATATCTGCACTCAGAAAACAAAGTTATAACGAGAAAAAAAGAATAACAAATACTTATATTAGTGACGCTTATCCATAAATAAAATCTTTGTTGTCTCTGCAAAGTTATTTTGTCTTGCATTGAACATGATTTCCTCATCCAGAGAGCACTTTTAGATGCACACGCACGTGCATGCGTCGTTGTCTATGCGTGGCGTAACGGCAGCAGGTCGCGTGTGCTGCTGCAGAAAACAAGGGGGGGTGGTTGGGGTGAGGGGTGTTAAGGGACTTTCCAGAATGAAGCGTGATTGAATGGAGCCGAGTGCTGATTAAGAGTGGGGCCAAACAAGACCGTCACTTGACAGTATCTATCCCGGGAGATGTCAGTAAAAACAGGAAGAAAATAATGAACACAATTCTTTTTTTTCTTTTTTTAGATAGCCTATGTAGCACCAACATGACTGGAGCATACTGATTGTCATTATGTAAAGGGAACGAGTTGGTTTTTCATTCCTATAGTTACAGATTTGTGAAGCACTTCTAATAAACATATTCTTCTTAAGCATAGCCTGTCCAAGGCATTGGCGAAATAAGCAGCAGCTTTGAGACCCCGAACCAACAGATGGCCCCAGAGAGCACAAACATCAGATTTAGAAATGTTATATACATATTTGTACATGAGTGAAACAAAGCTTTTTTTTCAAATATTTAATTTATTTAATATCCAAACATTTCAAGATTCCATATTTCTGCCATCCTATAGAACAACAGAAACAAAGACAAACTAGAACTATTCTGATATCTATGAAAATTCTGGATTTCCATGAAATTATCTTTTTTTTTTCAGAAAACATAGATACATCAGTATGTTTATGTGCTTATTTATCTACTTATCCAGCAATAAACTGAGATATGAAAATGTTTTAATAGAACTAAAATAGGCTTATATATTTTTTAACGCGTACACTGTGTATTACATGTGTATTACATATGTTTCTGATATAATATCAGTTATATGAAGTCTCTCGCTACACATGTCCTTATAAAGTTATTTAATGCAGTAGCCTATATGATGTTATTGATGCAAAAAAAACGTTCAAATATGGACAGGTTTATTGCTAGAACTACATAAAGCATCTTGACACATATATCAAATAGGCTACCTTTTGTTTTATAAAGAATAATAATATTAGAGAGTAGACAAAGAAACAAAAAAGTATATTTACAAACCTATTTATGAATAAAATGCAATGTAACGGATATTATCATAACAGATCATCTGGGTAAACCTTTGTATTTACACAGCTGATGTAAAAATGAAAGTTTAAGTACAGTAGCTCTGTTAATTAATGGTGTTTGTTTTTTTTGGTTAGTTTTTTTCTGGTTGGTGATCCCTTTTGTCATTTAATTTACAGTTGACTGGAAGTTTAACATTTAGCGTAAATCTATAGTAACATGATATCTCTAGTATAGAACTGCTGAAGAGACTTTTACTGTGAAAACCACTCAACTTTACATTGTTTCAACACTAAAATATCTGTGGTGAACAAACCAATTTTCCTGTTAAAACAAAACAAAAAAAAAGGTCTTTGTTTAAAATGCCTCCCAAATCAAATTCTTTTTAGGACCTTAAAAAGCCACAGAGCTGCTGATCCATACAATTAAATGTGCAAAGGTTGAATTGAGTTGAATTGATTTAGTAACTTATTTTATTTAGTTTTCCCCATTCCTTCTTTATGAAACGTCCGCACAATGCTTCACAGTGACAGATGCAGGAAACGCAAAAGGATTGAGTGACTTTATATAGTCAAAAAACAAACCAAACAAGGTTTCTGCACATAATTCATAAGTTTATGCGCGCAATCAGCTGAAGGAGGCTTAACCTGGGGGGGTTATGAGAAAGAGAGCATCTCTACCTCCACACACACACACACACACACACACACACACACACACACACACACACACACACACACACACACACACACCCCTCCTCTCTCCTGTTTTCCTCCTCCTCCCCCCGGAGAGAAAGGGTTAATTGGAGTAGGAATTTCATCGCACATCTGTCAGATTTTTAAGGCCGTGACGCACTGAAAGCTGGGAGTCAATGCGAGCAAAGGGAGGAGGAGGAGGAGGAGGAGAAAGAGTTGGTGGAGAGATCGATGAAGTGGCAGGCAGAGAGGCAAGAGGAGGAGGAGGAGGAAAATCTCACGAGATAATGAAAGAAAAAGAGAAGTGCTGCTAACAGAGCGAAAACACGGAGCGTGGACCCGGAGATTGTCTTAAAAAACAAAAAAAAAAACAGAGATTTTCATCTAGATCCGTTTATCCTGTTTTGTATTTTTCATCTTGTTTCCTCCGTTTGTTGCGCTGTGCGTGTTTTTTTGGTGGATGTAGCACCCCGGGGCGCAGCGGACCAATTGTGTGAATCTGTAGGTCTGCTCAGCGACACAGTGGGAGAAATGCGCAGGGCGGACAGCAGCCGTGGATGCGCTCCGACAAGCGGGTAGAATAAAGGTAAGATTTTTGGTTTTCAAACAGCAAATGTTGGCGATAATGTTTGGAAGGTAAAACGTCTCCCATTGGTTATTTGCAGCGCATAGAGTCTGTGCCTCCTTACAGATATCACTTTGCGTACAGCTGCAGGAAAATCGCATTAATTTACGAGATGATACGAGGATGAAATCAATAAGTTCTCAAATGGGGAATTTCTCCTGGAATGTGTGCAGAATTTAAGTCTTTTAATGATTGCTTATATTTTTATTGTTTACTCTCAAGTAAGAATGAGAGAAATGCAATGTTGTTATTTTTTTCTCAGTGCATCGGATCAATGTTTAAATTTAGGAGGTAACATCCATGCGCTGTCTTGTCGCACGCAGGCACAAAAGCGACCGAGGCTCCAGCGGGAGACCCCAGCTGAGCACCACAGACACAAACAGATGCACAAGTGAGAATAAAATAAGACATCGAGACTCTCCATGCTGTTCAAAAGTCGTTTTCTGGGACTTTGAGGGAGTTTGAAGACACTAATTAATGTTATCAGATAATTAATTAGAGACCCCGTAAGCCTGGAAATCAATTAATTCACAAATCAATAAATCCATAGTCTGGTGTAACAAGAGACCTTCCAGACTGTTGACCTGGCTGTTGAACAACAATAACAAAGAGAGAGCAACAGCATAGTGGCAAGAAACACAGATTTATTTGCTGAAATTGAAGATGGATGGGGGTCTAGGGGAGATGTCCCTGCACAGCCACTCTGATCTGGCTCACAGCCAGGATGGTAGGGCCATGCTGCACACACGGGACCTCTCGGCTGCCTTCCCCAGGCCTTCCCTCGGGAGCTCCTCCATGTCTCTGGAACCCGAGCCCCGTCCATCAGGATACGACCACTCCATGTCGGCTCTAGGCTACAGCGGCGACTCCCCGTCCAGTTCTGGGAGCACCTACACCACCCTAACCCCTCTGCAGCCATTTGATGACAAGTTCCACCACCATCATCACCACCATCACCCCTGCCTCCCTGTCAGCAATGTCATCGGCAGCTTCACCCTCATGCGAGAGGATCGAGGCCTCGGCACCAACTTCTACAATCCGTATGGAAAGGAGCTGGCTATGACACAAAGCCTGACACCCCCCACCACCGGTTCAGGCCTGAGCTCCTCCATGCATGGCTACGGCAGTCTAGGCAACAGTCCCAATGGCAATGGTGGACAGATGCTCCACAGCGGCTATGAGGTCCACGGAGGGGGTCTCTTCTGTCGGGCGTCAGATTTTGGTCGAGAGATGTCACCCCCAGGACTGGGAGGTGGCGATGTGTCCATCGGGCATCAGCTGAACAAGATAGAGGCTCACCAGCACACCCCTAACCACCACCCTCACATCTACAGCCAGCATTACCAACCTCACCATCACCCAGGCCAGCAATCATCCAAGATGGGTGAGCACCTGCACTCCTCGTCGCCCGCCTCATCCTCACCCGGCGAGGGCATGCTTCCAGGCTCGCAGGGGGGCGGAGGCGGGGAAGAGATCAACACCCGGGACGTGGCCCAGAGGATCATCACAGAGCTGAAGAGGTACAGCATCCCCCAAGCTATCTTTGCGGAAAGAGTCCTGTGTAGGTCACAGGGCACGCTGTCTGACCTCCTGAGGAACCCCAAGCCCTGGGGCAAGCTGAAGTCTGGACGTGAGACCTTCAAGAGGATGTCTCGTTGGCTGCAGGAGCCAGAGTTTCAAAGAATGGCCTCACTTCGGCTGGAGGGTAAGATCTGGCTTTGCTCTCTGTATGCCTCACACATGCACCCTCACACTCAAACAAAAATACACTCTTTCCTCCTGTTTCCCCAAACGCCAGCCTTCTTTGTGTCTTCCAAAAAAATCTTCCTCAGTAGTGATCAGTATGCAGCTCAGGTTGACACATGAGGAAAAGCAAAAAGCATCATACGGATGTTTCGGTTTTTCACATTGAGAACGAAGCCCTGGCTTGTCTGTAGCCTCATAAGGTATTGATAATAACAACATCCAGGACATCGTGAGGGAGAAAGGGATCATATGTGCTATTCCTTTGTTTATTGTGCTCCCAAACATCAGCTATTGATTTGTACAGTAGCTACAACATAAGAAAAAAGGGCTCAGACATTTGTCCTCCTCTCCAATGAACCATGAAGATCAGCCAGAGCAGCGGTTGGAAATTTAATCGCTTTCAAGCCCACAAAATAATTTGCACAAGGTATACCGTTTTGGAGCAATTGATTAATTTCAACGGTGATTTATATCTGTTCAGCGCCTGCCTGAAGTTGACTTGGCGAGGCACCTGATGCAAATCACTCTTGAGCTTGTGCCAGACGTGTTTTATCAACGTCGCCACTGAGGCAATTACTGTGAGACTAAATACAAACGTTCTTCTCATGGAAAGCAGTTCCCTATAGATTAGGAAGAAAGAGACGGTCTCAGCAGGTCTGTGATGATTTGTTGGAAAAATAAATTCAGGATTTTTCTGTGTGTTTGTGTGTCTTTTAATGGCAGGAGATGAAAACAGATTGCGTTCTTACATTTAAAAAAAATCACCTTTGCTTTTGTGTTTTTAGGACAATTCTCCAGTCATTTACCTCTTGCCCACATGGTAGTGTTTGTACAAATCAAAAAGATCTCTTTTTTTTTTTTTTTTTGAAAGGCATATTGTAATCTGCTGCTTGACATTTAATATTCTTCTGGGACATGGATTGAAGACACGACAGCACGCTGTACAGTGCTGTGTTACAGTGTTGTCCCTCCGCAGGGATGGGGGCCCATCTGATACACGCAGTAGAGAGAAATCCAAGTGAGTGCAGTAATATGAGATGAGCAAAGATGAGTGTGTGTGTGTGTGTGTCTGCTCACTGCAGGGGTCTGTGAGCTGTACGAGTGTACGAGCCCGCCCGGTTCATCACTGCCTTTTTCGCTCTCTGTCAGCAGCTCGACTGATTAAGCCCAACAACACAATGGGGTTCATAGGTAATGATTGTGCGCTCTTGCAATCCCTTCACAATTATTGATCTTTGATTGTTCAACTCTGAGAGCACATGTGTACATCCTCTATTCAGCAAAACGTTAGGGCAATCACAGCTAAAGCTCTTATCTGGAGGAGAGTTATCTCAGGGTTTGTTCTGTAATTTGGGTAAAGTGTCTGCTTGTTTAATCCAATCCTGGATAGTGTAGAGACTTTCCATGCAAAATTCTCTTTGACTGTTTTGTATAGATGAGTCCATCATGAGGAAAAGCGAATCAGCCCATTGTTCTTTTTTCAGTAGAAACCCAACAAAGTTCCCTCTTCTTTATTTGCAACATACCTTCCTTCATCTTTTCAAATACAAACATTATTTCAATGAGTCGGAGCGCCATGTCTGAGCAGCCGATCAATCAGACTCATAAAAAATTAAAGCCTACACAGAGAGGTGTTTTAATGTTTGACATTGCCCCTCTCTCCCTCTGCTCCCACACACTCTAAAACTGCATATTTAGTTCCTGGCAAAGCCACAGTTTAGACAGCTCGGCACTTTTCTACATAACCTACTTTCCGTAGGGGGTTGTTGTTTTTTTCTCCCCCTCCCCACCCACTCTCCCAGCCAACCCCCTTTTGTTTAATTACAAGCCGTTATTGATTTCCATGGGAAAGAGCAGCAAGCTTTGCCCACACACACCTTGGCCACATCGGCGAATCGAGACTGGAATTAGAATGCGTGATGCCCTGTGCTCTCCAGTCTGAAGGTATAGCTCAAGTGCTTTCTGATCCATGCCTCAAGTTTTAAGATCATCCCCTCCTTAATACAGCTGTTGCCTAAATACATAGAAGGCCCTTTAGAGTGTGCCGCAAGCACTAACTTAATTCAGGAACAGCGTTAACAGTTATAACAGTGTGTCTCCTTTTGGAGAGCTCCTCTATGCTTGACACACTGTAATTATGGAATGCTCTCGCTGACATTTTGTCCTTTCAAATAACCGTCTTTCTGCAGAGACCCTTTGCAAAACATGGAAGAGATGATCCCTCAGATTTATCTGCAGTATCTTGTTTGTGTGCATGGATTTCTGCACTGTACATGAGCGGCGTCTTCAGGCCAACCCCAGGCTGTGGAGTAGGCAATCAGGATTTAGCTGGAGAAGAAGGCATGATAAAGACCTTACAGCTCCGCCACTTAAAGTCAAGCAGGGGATCACAGACAATAACTTTAAAGATGATGGCCGAAGCCCTTCACTAAAGGTCTGAATGAAAAAGAAAGGTCAATGCGGTTTACGCGTTGGCTCAACCTCTGCACAACCCCCAACAGCAATGAAAACCGCATCTAGCTCTCGCTGTGTACAGTTCACTTTCAGCTGGTGAAGCTCAAAGGTCAAACCCCATTTCATTTGCATATCAAGAATTGCAAACAGGGTCTGTCATGGCATTGGCCGTGCAGCATCCAGCAAATAGCTGCTTTCGCTGCTGTTGTTTTTTTTCTTTCTTGTATCTGACTGTTGCAGCTTCCCCCACTCCAGTGCTGAAAGGGTTAACCAGCCTCTGTGGGTCGAGAAGTCTGAGCTGCACAGATTTAATCAATAATTTCTATCAGCCCCTGGCCCAAGAAATCAGCAGGGGGTGGGCTGGGGATGGGGAGTGGTGGGGGGGGATGCATGGAGGCTGGGAGGGGTTCTAGCCGAAAGGGGGGGCAGCGTAGGTTTGGACGCCGGGGGGTAGGGAAAGGACTTTCGATCACGTTTCAGCAACACGAGACAGGAGCATACATCATGATTAGGGGCTGTTCCCACGATCATAAGGAGCCTATAGGGGAATATTTATATCTCCAGGAGTAGCCCCGGTGCCAGAGATTTATAGCATGGTAATTGTGAGCCTTTTACACATGATTACAGCATAAGGAAGCATTTACTTAATGGCCGCTGTTATGATTGTCTGTGAGGCAGAGCGGCGAGGACGGGATGGAGGAAGAGAGCGGCAGGACAGAGCGACTCCTCCAACAAGCCATAAATCGTAGCTACAAGCAAGGCAGTCTACACTATCATGTCATTCCTTGCATCACTACGTGAACCGAGTGTACCACCCTATACACTATATGCCCAACCCCCCCCAACCAACAAGTATTGACAGTAAAAATGGTGTAACAGCAGTAAAAAAAAAGGAGTAGCCTTTGCACACACACAAAAAGAAAATGTACCTCCGGTGATATTGACACGCTGTTGACATCTCGGCCTGCTCAGATTTTAATGAGACGTGGTTCGATAACTCTCAGAAATGCAAACGAGCTCTTGATGCCGTAAAAGCTTAACAGACTCATGTAATCTCAAGTTGACAAGACCGCATCCCCAAGTCAAAACATTTCCTTCAGATAACGATTCTGAAGTTGAACGTTCACATGAAATGTGTAATTCAGATTAATTCATGTCTGGTTTAGTTTCACAAACTTAGTTCGACCAAAAAGCCCCCAGAGATGCATAAAGTGCACTGCGACAGCACTCGTCTAGAAAATGGGAAAGTTGGCAGAGTAGGGGGGTCATGATTGTTTCTCAAGCACCCTGCTAATGAGAGAAATTTGCTGGTGCGGGTCGGAGGAGTGAAGTGTTGGTCATACAGTAAACACCATCAGCAGCAGCAGCCTTGAGATGTTTCTCAATGGGAAGCTGTAGACCAATCAATTGGACGTGTCAGAGCTGTTATGAGAGAAAAAGGCAGGTTCAGTGGTTTATAAAATCTATGTTTGTAGCATGTGTGTACCGAATTGAGTGTCTGTGTGTTAGAGTTGAAAGGAGGTTAAGGTTATTACTTGCTGATATCTCCATCTTGCAAAAGCCTTTCTGTAAGCAGCAAAACTCCTTATTAAAAATGTTTGGCTTTCCTTTCTTGAAAGACAAACAAATGAAAAAAAAGTACCTTAAAAATCAGAGTGATTTTACTTTAAGGTTTTTTTTAAATATATATATATATATATATATATAATTCTCAAATTTAATAAGCAAGAAATTTAATTTAAATTAATTTTATGTTTTAATTTTTTAATTATATATTTTAAGTTAAGACCAAAAGCTGTTTGATCTGATAATTAGATTGCTTTTTTGTTTTTAATTTTCTATTGTTTTCCAATTGTTTTTTTAAATATTTCTCACATTTAAAAAGATAGGAAAATATCTATTTTACATATCTGATGACTTATTTGGGTCTTGGTCTGCATGTTTGCTCTGCTGTTTTTTGTACTTTGCTGCTTACTCCCAACAAATGCATCTGATACCATCAGCAGAACAAACACGCAGTGCTGATTGAATCCCCTTAAAAGTGTGCATTTAGGTAATTGTGTGACTTTCGTAAATATGTTTCAGCTCACTTAAGGCATTTAAACACCCTGGGCAATGCCGACTCTGCTTGTTCACCCCCTGATGTCATCCTGCCTAAACAGAAAATAAATGAGTTCCGCTTTAAAGTGATTATTACTCACTCACCGGCGCCACATGTAAATGACTTTTATGTGAAACTAATGATGCTGTAGCTTCCACTGAGGAGGAAAGAGGAGGAAGAGAGGAAGTGGAAGAGAGAAGTGGAGGAAGGGGTGGTGGTGAGGAGTTGGCTCGGTAAACAAAGGCAGAGGTTGGTGATGCGTTTCCTGTAAATACAGAATTACAGCGTGTTGGAGGTGAAGGGTTCAGCGATGGATATGCAGAAAGGAACATGCAGCCAGAATTCAAAATGCACGTCTGAGGCTCAAAATGGATCTGCTCTCAACCCACACACTCTCCGTGTTGCTTCTCATTTCTCGCTGAGCCATGCTGGTTTGTTTGGCAGGGCAATTTTATATATTTTTTCATGTATTTATTTACTTTCTCATAAGCAAACATTGATTAAAAGATTGTGCTGGCAACAGCGGTGTTTAACCCAGACCCAAGGTTTTTTTATTTTGATGTAATTGTATTCAAGGCTGACATGGAAAATAATCAAAAACAAATATAGATTCAAACATTAAAATCACCAGAGGATTTTTTTCACCTCAGTCATTGTTTTTGCTATTTGAGTATCAGGAACTTTAACACTTTAACCAGAAACAATGAATTTTAACATCCTCAACGGACCACGGAGGCAGAAATAAATGAATAAGAATCTGAAAGGTCTAGATAAGCAGTGAAACCAGCTAATAATTTTAAAGTATATTTTTCTTTGTTTTGCAACATTGATATATTTTTTTATTAACCTTTAGGTGAAATGTTTGTTTTTAACTTTGCATGCTTGATTTTCTTTAGTTGTGATTTTGAATGGGTTGATTAGCAGTACAAATATTTAAATCCCATTTTAAAGTTTAAATTCTAGTATTTAAAGTCTGTTTTCTCTGATTCTATGGCATACTGAGTAGAATATAATTTCTATAGCAGTCCTTCAATTAAGATGACTCTTATTCAGGTAACGCTGTTTTAAAACCACAGCTGGCAAAGTTGGAGCAGCGTGTCTCATAATCATCCACAGGCTCTATCTGAGCAATTATTTAGCAGCTTGTTATACTTGTCGCTGCATAAAGAGCAGATCTGTAAAAAATGTCGTATTTAGTGCAGTAAGCATATTAAACATTGCTGTAAAATGAAGGTGATGCTTGTAAGGGTTTTACTTTTTTTAAGCCTCTATAATATTAAATCAAGCAAATTGATTAAATGCATGATAATATTTATTAAGCTAAAGCTTATATTACAACCCACAATAGATTTAAATATTTCTTTACAGAATTAGTCAAAATAATTGTGTATCTTTTACATTAGATAACAGTTACTTTTTGTGTTAATAGAGCGGTAGATTCATTCATTTCCATCCAAAATGTAACACAAGAGAAAATGTTCAAATATCCTTAATCTAGGAAAAAAGAAATATACTAAATACAACAAAGAGAAAATCAAGTAATTCTAGTTGGAGGTAAGTGTTTTTAATATGAAGGAAGCATTCAAGCATGACCTGGTGAATAGCAAGCAACATGAGGCTTTGGCTCCATTTTCCAAATCAGATCTGACTAAAAGGAAAAACCTTGTGCTAAAAGTAATTAAAGAGCCTTAGAAATAAACAATGAAAACATCAAAGCTTTGGCTGGGATGTGCTTTTCGCTTTTTTTTATTTCCCCAGCTGCCACCAGCATCTCACTGGCAACAAGATGTGAAAGATTGAACATCTTGATTCCTCCACTGCACAATGAAACAAGTTGCTGATTCATCTCTTTCAACTAATCAAAGTTGCTTAGCTAATCTGTTTTCTTTCAACAAATCCACTTTCCCTTAGCTTAATCCATTTGTCCTAGTTAGCCATCCAGTCTGTTAGCTAACCTTTTTTCCCTTTCCTCCCTCCCTCTAATACATCTCTCATCCATGTGCCTGCAGCCTGCAAGCGCAAGGAGCAGGAGCAGAGCAAGCTGGAGCGCAATCAGGGCCCGAAGCGCACTCGGCTGGTGTTCACCGACCTGCAGCGGCGCACGCTCATGGCCATCTTCAGGGAGAACCACCGCCCGACCAAAGAACTGCAGGTCACCATCTCCCAGCAGCTGGGCCTGGAGCTCTCCACAGTCAGCAACTTCTTCATGAACGCCCGCAGACGCAACCTCAACAAGTGGGCCGACGAGGGCCGTCCTTCTTCCACTGGCTCCTCTGGCTCCAGCGTTTCCTCTTCCGCGGTGTCCTGCAGCACCGCGTGATGATGGGGTGTCCTGGAGGTGCGTTGGGGAGGGCGCCGAGAGAACAAGGGGGGCACATGGACTGGTCTAGGGGGAGACCAGGCGTTACAAAATGTCCTCCTCGTTATCAGAAGGAGTGACGGAGCTTTTGCAGATGATTTTATGAAGCAAACCAAAGTCGATTGCCTCTTTGACATGGAAAGAGGCAATGTGTAGAGTGATAAAATTGCAGGATGTGAGGTCCTGCTTGTATAGTCAAGGGTGGGAAGATGAGTAACACCCTCACATAGACACCATCTCATTGCATTATTTTAATTATGTAGATTAGAGATAATGAGGGTATTGCAAATCAGGAGGAAGCATATTTTGATGTACCTTCAATTCTATTCCCATCTCTCCAAACGTGACGAATCAAGAGGTGCCGTTTACTCACACCTGGAGAGCTCCATCGTGTAAGTTTTTAATCACAAGTGTTCACAGTTGTCCAAAGATGTTAATCCGTCCCCCCAGTTCCCATTTTTCCTCAAGAATCAAGGTGAAAGAGGAAAAAAAGGTTTTTTTCTTCAACCTTTTGATTTTTTGTTTTCTTTTTCATGAAGTCAAGTTCCCCTTTCTTAGCATGTGTTTCCATGGTGATGGTTCCCAGGACTTTTTTGGTGCTGTTTCAAGTGTGGAGCTTGGAATAATAATCAAGGTGGGATTCTGTTAATGTCTGTAAATCCCAGCCGTCAATCATAAACCACCAACGAGAGCATCTGCAGCGTTTTGTCTGAACGGTCTCGCCTTGAATTAATCAGAGGTTTCAGGGGAGACCTTCGACTTGACGCGACGTTATGCCGGCACAGAATCAATAAACACAAGCAGGACGTGGAAACAGACTCGTTGATGCAACCATTTTAGCTTTAAGACTGTCGCTGAGCTTCCAAAGAAAAGCTCCTCAGCCATTTTTGACTCAAAAACCAAGCCACAAAAGAGAGAAGAAAATGTAATTTGAACACTAAAGGTTTCGTACAGAAGAGCTACACCTGACACAGTGTATAGTGAGATTTTAGTATTTTTTTCAGCTCATTTACAAATAACTACTCACCTCTGCACCATTCTGAAGTGTTTTTTTAACAGATGTCTAGAAAATGGAGGAATGTGATCCTTTCTCCCCTTTTTGTACAGATTTCAAGCACATTGCTCTATTTGTAGGAACCATGTTGGAAGTGTGGGGCAGTTATTTTCAGCCCTGCTGGAGGTCATTTTTAAGTTTGTTTTTTATCTGCAAAGGAATGGCTTTAACACGCCTTCTTATAGCCAAAAGCAAAATCAAATCAAGAACATTTAAAATGCAATTTCTGATCTGATTTATGGTATTTATTACTATGTTTGTGTATTTATTGTTTACCTTTTGTTTTCCTCTGTATTTATTTGGCAATTTATTTATGCTATCTATATACTGTAAGTATTTATTTAACGATACTCCGTATGTCTGTGTGAAACTGAAGACTTTTTCTGATGGGCACTTTTAGCTGTAGAATCCCATCGTAATACCAAAGATTAACATTGCCTCCCTGAATGTACGACCAGAATCCCTAAACCCAGTACCTGATCCCGACCCGATCCACCATGTGACGTTCTATCTCTCTACTCTAAAAGGCCTGGCCTTTTCATCATTTTTTTTGTGTGTGTTTTTTTGGTAGAATATTGGGGAATTCTTTACTCTTGCAAATGTCTCCGCTATCGTCTCTTAATGCCAAGGTCAAAGCTTGTTTGAATGTGATTATATTTAGGATTAATTTTGCTATAGATAATGATGATGTGGTATCCCATGGGTTCACGAGTTGCTTGTGAAAGTTATATTTAGACCAATACCATGTAGAGGAGTGGGATGAAGCATCTGGAGACCTACCTAAAGCACCGTCTGAGGTTTAAATTAGGAGTCCACCTTGGTCACATGCAGACATGCCTGCCACTGCTTGGCTGAACATGCATGGTTCTGACCACCGTTTCTTTTCACCGTAACTCCTCAGCAGTGCAGCGCAGACCCTCCTGTCTACATCCGATTCAGTGTAAGGTCACCATCCCATACATGCCAAACCCCTCTGACAGGTGTCTCAGTTCCAGCTAGGCATGGGCTCCCAGTATTAATCTTGATTTCTTTTATTTCAAACATACTGAGCAATTATTCCTCAGAAGTATTGATTGTTGAAGTTAAATGTATGAAATCCAATCTAATGGACAACATAGAAACACAATGAGTATAAGCTCACATTAGGCCAAGTAGAGACATGCTAGTCGTAGTTTACATGTTAGGACTTAAAATAGGGAAAAATAGTTTTAGTTTATTAAAATCAATTCGGTAAAATTTTTTAGCTCTAAACTGTGACTATCAGTTGTTGTTTGTTTTTTTTGCAACTTGAAGTATTTCCAAACAACTGAATTTATCTTTTGCGGCAGAAAGATAGACGACTTTAAACCAGCTAATGACATTTCATAGCAACAGGTTGGGGAGGGGCAGAGCTGTGTTACTCTGTTGTCCCTGAGTACATACTGTTAATCCACTGAGTTCTCAGGCATCTTGAACTGTAGAAATAGCATGATGGAAAGTGGTCAAAAACCTAGTCTTGGTACATCCTGATACCGCTAACCAGCCCATGCCTTTTTCCAAAACTGTTTTTTAGTTTACTCCTGCTCTTTCATGGGTTTTCATGGATATTAAGAAGTGTTTCTCACTTTCATGGATTCCTCTGTTGTTTCAGTATCTCAACATTTTTCTGCAGGACCTCTGCAGCATCCTTTACCCCCAAGTGTCTAAGACTCTTTCCTAATCTCTGAATAATTCTGGTATCTAACTTTTTTTTTTACCAAGCTTCCTTGCAATTTTAAAGACATACTGAGCTCATTTCACTGTCATCTAGGTTTTGCTGCAAGGGTTTTTCCAGCTGTCAGCAAACTTCAAGAACCCTTCCTAATGTCCAGGATTTCTTTTGCCGTTTCTGTGATCTTCAGAGGTTCTCTGATCACCTTATGCAGCACAAATGTTTGGATTTCCCACTGTGTTGTTTATTTGGAAGCATAAATCAGGAAACTCACAGAAGACCCCACAGTCTTACCCCCTGAGGAAACGCTTCCAACGATCAGCCTGGCTGACAAGGCCTTTTTCCATCCTGAACCCCTCTCTCATTTTCTCTCTCATTCTCTGTCTTTAACGCTGAAAAGGGGGCGGATCGGTGAAGCCCATTTCACAGCGTGCACTTGAAAGACGAGCGGTCATGAAAGAGGCCATCGACTTTTTCGTGGACTTCAAAGTGGAGGCTTTTTTTATCCTGTCTCGTCTCTGGGTTCCTGGACTGAGGTCTGCTGTTGGCCAGACCTGTGGGCTTTAGGGGGGCATTCAAAAAGGGGTGGAGGGAGTGGGTGAGACATCAGAGAGGAGGCTGAATCATCCAGGATGAGGATGGTAGTGTGTATGTGTCTAGAAAAAGTAGGATGGAGGGGGGAGTTGTTTGAGGAACAGGAGGTGTTGGAGTACTGGGGCATGGAGCTGAATTAAACTTTAATGAGTGACAATTGTAAGCATGCTGAGGGCTAAGGGGGGGGCAGTGGAAGGGGCGAGTGGTCAAGTCAGTACCAGGGTGAAAAAAATGAAAAGAAAGAAAAAAGCTTAAAGGCTCTTCTGCCGACCCCTGCTTTCCACTGTCATCGTATCAAAGCTGAGGTGACACCTTTCAGGTTTCTCTTTGTCTATCTGACTGGGAGCCTAAAATGGAGAAAGAGCTGTTTGTTTTGAGCCACCTTCTGCTCCATGTCAAGCAGAAAGGATCTTCCTTCTGCTCTGTTAGCAGAGAGGCTGGCAGGTGAGGGGGCTTAGTGCTGCAGGGGATTTCTTCTCCTTTTTAGCCTGCGGCCCCCTCTAGTGTCATCTCCTGAAACTATCAGACAGAAACCTAGAGAGCATGTTGATAGTGAAATGGCAGAATTGAAATCTAATGCTTTATTGAGAATAAAAAAAAAAGTTTTTGTTTTTTTTTTAACGGAAAGAAAACCAAAGATTAATGGGTAACTGCTGATTTTTTTAACAGTTACCCACAAGAGCTGACCCTAGCTCTCAGAGGATTCAAAAAGCACCGGAGGCATTGCTGAGTCTTTATGTTGTAGAAAACAGCTGGAACTGAGAAACTGGCATGAGGCCGTGTCTTCAGATGGAAGTCCTTTGGACTTTGGAAACCCCAGTGTCTCTGTGTCTGTCCTTGCCTTCCCACCCTGTGTGTACACAAAGACTTTACCCATCTACCTCAACTGTGTGAGTTGTTGTGTGGCAAAGATATTCCTTAACCAAAGAATCCATCCTGTCAGGGTGTCTTTCTGTCTGTCTATCTATCTTATCTATCTATCTTGTCTGTCCATCTGTCTCTTCTTCATGCCTTTTTGCTCCGAACCAAATGTGCTGGAATCAATCCGAAATAGGAGCCTGTACGAGGCTCCCATCCAGCCAAAGCTGAACGCCAGTATGCTAGAGTCCCATTGATCCATGTTACATATATATGAAATCATTCTCAAGACCAAAAAAGAAGGAGGTGACAATCTAAGCAAGGAGGTTCTTGCTGTAATCAACGTTGCCTATTCCTTGTTTTCCATAAACTAGAACCATCCCCGTGAATCAAGCCTTCACCCCGAAACCAGTAAAAAGGAAAGGTCAAAGGAGACAGAAGCTATTTTTCCACATTTGTAAGCCACGCGTTCCCTCCCCCTGTTATTTCCAACTGTTTAGTGTAGTTGAAATACTGTTCGATCCCACTGTTGTAAGTAGGAAATAATGAAATTCATACAGAAAGCTTTAACTGAGGACGGGCTGAGGGAAATGTTGGCGCTACCTCAGCTTGGACTCATGGACCCACCATGCTTTACTGTGCCATTCTTGTCCATGTGTTAGACTTAACTAATGAATGTGGCTAACCAACCAAAGGCTTAAAAAAAAAAAAAAAGATACACAACACTTTAAACATCAATCATGGTGGGACGTTTTGTATCAACAACTAAAGAAAAATCCCTTTGAATACCTCATGTGAAAATTGTTTGTTGTGATGTTGCACTAAAAAATAAAAATGACTCATTTGTAACCCAACCTCTGGGCTCCGTCAGCTTTATTCTGTCTTTGCTGGAATTTTTCTGAACTTTTAAGGGCCCCAAAAATGTATTTTACATCCTTTGCTTAAAGAAAATTGTGGGTTGTTTTTTTTTTTTAACTAGAAATAGAAGCAGTTATTCATGGTTTGTCTATAGACCATTTGATAATTTAAAAGTACATCACATTAGATTTAAAGGAAAACATACTTTGCTAATTTAATTACAAATTTTAAACCTTTGTGATAATATATTTTAAGTACTAAACAAAGTATTATATTTTAAGAATTTTCCCCCTTTATTATGGTTAAAGTTAATAAAAATATGAAATTTAATTGATCAGGAATTTGATTATTACACAGGATCTTTTAACACAGGCAACATTGATTATAGAAATAAATGTGGAGAATGATGCCCTGACTGTAAATGAGGAAGACTGGGCTGTATTCATGGAAAGTTATGTGGAAGGAAAACATGTAGTGGAAAAAGGTGCATAAAGGGCTGGAATAGAGAACATGAAATGAGACAGACCTGTACTTAGCCCATCGTCAGAATGTGAACCCTGTCAATAAAAAGATTTCTCCAATGCATTGTCAGATTATAATATCTAAAAGTGATAAAGTGTTTCTTAAATTGGGCAGTTCAAAAGATCATCAACTCAACTTTATTTTTTAAAGACCTTTAAAACAACCACAGCTGCCAAAAAGAGCTGGACATATCAGGTAAAGTTAACATTTTATTAAAACAACATAGAAGTTTAAAGAACTAAAACAAATATAATTAAATATAAAATATAAAATAATAATGAAATATAATAAAATCAATGTAAACAAATAAAACCATATACAAAAAGAACAATAACACTCTGAACAATCTGACTGTTTTATTTGTGTCTCTATTTTGTTGGTAGGTGTGAGTGTGTGTGTGGTTGTGTCTCTGTGTTGCCCTGCTGTGTACTGGGACCTGTCCATGATGAACCTCACTTTGTGCTGATAATCTGCTGGATATACGCACTAGAGATGGAGACAGAACCAGGTGTACAGAGTGTTAACCACAAGTTTACATTTTTTGTTATTTTTATTGAAGAATGCAAAGTTTTACAATGGGGCATTATGTGATAATTTCTTTCTTTACACAAACAATACGATTTGAAAGTAAAAAACAGATTTTTTTTTTTTTTCTGGAGCTGAAAATGATTTATGTTATACAGTTATATTCATTATTGCTCTAATAGTTCTGAGTTCCAGGCTTTGACATCAGAGGCCTGAAGATGTGCTGACACTATAATAGACTGAACTAGATGCTAAGAGGAGGGGACTTCTCTGTGAACGGACTCATTAATGCTTGAATAATTTAATTTGGTGAAGAAATGAACACAAAATATATTATTTTAAGTTTTTTAAATCATTTCAGGACCATTTTTAATTTAAATAAGGGGTCTCAACTCAGATTCTACAGGCCCAGTATCCTGCAACTTTTAGATGGGTCACTGGTTCAATGAACACCTGAATCAAATGGCTAAACTACCTCACTAGCAGAAGTCAAGTTCTGCTAACAAGCTCATACTGGAGTCTGGTGTGTCGAAGCAGACACATCTAAAAGTTGCAGGACAAGGACCCTCAAGAATTGGAGTTTGAGACCCCTGCTTTGTGTGGATTAATTATCCTGTCCAAGGGTTCTTTAGAATCAGGGAATACCACCCTAACTGGCCTGTGGGCACATCAGAGCCGTTATAAAGTCCAGCTTTTTCCACTTAAGGCAGCTAGCCAAAGTAAAACCCATTCTATCAAAACAACATTTTGAAACAGTGATCCATGCATTTGTGCCCACACAGCTGAATTACTGTAACTCACTTTATACAGGGGTCAGTGACTTGTATATTTCCCAACTTCAGAGGGTTCAAAATGCTGCTGCACGTCTTTTAACAGGTACACGAAAATTTGACCACATTTCCCCTGTTTTAGCTTCCTTACACTGGCTGCCAGTACATTTTAGGATTGATTTTAAAATTATTTTATTTGTTTTTAAAACTCTTAATGGCCTTGCCCCTTCTTATCTGTCTGAGCTGTTGCATTCTTATACACCCTCCCGTTCCCTCAGGTCAGCTGATCAGTTGCTTCTGAGGGTCCCAAAGACAAAATGCAAGCTCAGAGAAATCCGTGCTTTTTCTGTGGCAGCTCCTAAGCTGTGGAACGATCTGCCTCTGAGCATAAGACAGGCCTCTTCTCTTGCTGTTTTTATGTCCCTTCTTAAGACTCATATTTTTTCCTTGGCTTTTGGCACAATTTGAGAGGTTTTACTTTGTTTTATTCTCTTTGAATACTAATTTGTGTTTTACAGTCGTTTTTTTTCATTTTATAATTTTATTGTATTTTATGATTGTGTACAGCACTTTGGTCCTGTCCGGTGTATGCTTCATAAATAAAGTTGGTATGGTATGGTATGGTATGTGGCTATGAAGCCCTATACTTACAAAATTCGGATACATTGAGTACTCTTACTCAATGTTATCAAAAATAACATCTTAACCTTTAAAATACATCAACTGTTGCATAAGACCAAATAAGACAGACTTCTCTCCCTATCTGCTAAATACAGACATCTGCAGAATTGGAGCAGCCTAGTAAATCAGAAGCCGTTTTTGATCATTCTAGATAAACTAATCCAAATCTTTGCACTTAATCATTGATTAATTTTCATATAGTATATTATTCACAAATGCTTGTATATGGTGTAGGCCACAGTAAACCAAGGACAAGAGTGGTAAGTTGACAAAAAGTGGCTCTTTTCCAGTTATACTGGCCACTGAAAGCAGATTTAAAAAAGAGCACCTGTTTACACATTTATACTTCATGGACAAATCTGTAAGCAAGTTAGGGTTAAAAGTGCTGACTACGGACACAATAGCATATGACGGACAGAAGATATGCTGAAAAGAAAGTGTGCTATTAGTAAAACCAAACGATATTGGGATTTCTGCTTTGAAGTGTTTTATTTCACTGAAAAATATCTATCTATGGAAAAAGAACTTGCCTAAAAGTATATACACATCTCATTAATAGGAAATTGTGTCATATGACCACATGTTCTCATTGCATGCATTGGTGCTGACATCTGTCCACCATCAGTGAAGAGGACACAGTCTGTAACTGGTGTTAACATTAAAGAGGGGAGGGTGTCTAATGAGTTGCTATTAATTACTGCCTTATTTGGCTTAATTCATACACTCAACTTCAGCTCTTCAATATAGCTCACATAGACCTGTGATGCACAATAGCAACAGTTTATGAAGACAGGATTAAATAACAGAGTTTATAGTTTATAGAGAGTGAAGCTCTAAGTGGATCAGTTAAAGGGACATTTGGAAACTGCTCTTTTGCTTATCTTTCATAACCTTTTTGTATTCAGATACAGTGAAGGAAAGTGTGAAGAATTTATTTTAGTTGGTAAAAAGAAACAGACTGTAATTTAAGAGAAATTAGTAAATAGATCTGTTTGTCAATAATCTTACTAAATGCATGTTTATACATGCATTAGAAATATTAGTTATAATTGGTGTGATATTTCCTTCAAGGAGAGATGAATAAATGGGTTCATATTTTTATTAAGTTTAAGTTTTTTGGTAAAGGCTAGGTGAGACTTGGAAGAACAGTTACTTTTCTTCCTTTTCACTGGTGTTTTTTTTCTTTTTTCCCTTTAGCAAGTCTTGTAAAAAAATAGCCCTGAATCACTTTAGTTTTTACTTTTTATAGTAATTTTTTTTGGCTTTGAAAGGGGGACTTGGCTTTAAAAATGTCCCATAGTAAATTGTTTTCTCTAACGGAGACTTGGTCTTTATTTCTCTAAGAACTCTATAGTTAAATTAAAAAGTGGATTTTCAGACCACCTGTCTTTTATGTATAGGTATAATATTGATTTTATTACACCTAAATATTAGGACATTTATAGGTGGAAAAATAATTGTATGTAACAAATTCACTTTGAGTATAAAAACTTAAACATCATTTAACAAAGTAAAAAATGGCATTATAAAAGAGTATTTATTATTATCTTTTTACTTTGTTTCAATGTAGATTTATGATTCTAGATACAAAAAAAGAGTAATTAAATAATAAAGTGTTTCAAAGACAGCAGGGAATGTGTGGCCCTCTTTAGGCGCAGTGTACCTTCCAGCTGAGTTTGACCCTCTGCTCTAGTTGGTTCTAACTGTAAAAAAGTTAACTTTTTATTTCTGATTTATTTTTTAAAATATATGCTTTCAGACATTTAAAGGATTTTAATTCCTTGCCAAAAAATGTCAAAATAGCAGGCTCAAAGCTCTTGATCAATTAATACCAATGTCTTGATATGGCTGCACATCCATGACTTTTTAAAACTAACATTAGTGAAAAAAATTATTAATTATGTTACGGAACCACTGGCGTAGCTTTAAGCTGAAGACATCTGAATGGTATTTGAAATGTAAAATGAGTCTCGTGCAAAGTCTCAAAAAAATACAAACTCATGGTTCCTGGAGCCATATCTGAAAAATTAATCTCTCTTTATTTTTTAACAAAAACAAACAATAGTTTCAGTGGATTTAGCATTCATTCTTAAAAAGAATTCCAGTTAACACATGTAGATTAGAAATGTAAAAAGTTTTCGAAACAGATCAGGGAAAACCTTTAGGAACAAAGGAACTAAACAAATGTGCTGTTTTCAAGACCTAGTATTTGATTACTTTAGAAATAGAAATGAAAATATTGTTCAGATTATCATCTATTCCCTTTAGTTACATGATGGGGTAGCAGGAATACAGAGCAATCCCACACTGGTTGTTCTTGTTGCGGGCCATCCGAATGTAGCCCTGATCTCCAAAATAAGTTCCCCAGCTGGATGCAAAAGGAGAGAAAAATGAGAAAAATTCAGTTGAGTTGTCTTAACATAATGCTCATTTTGAAAATATTTCCAAATTTCTATGAATGATTCTGTTTATGTAAGCAATCAA